GTGCAAGTAAAATTATGGAAGATCGCTTAGTCATTTGATTTATCTAAATTTTTTTTTTAATGTAGCTAAATATTTTATTCTTTTTTGAAAATATTTAAGCAATATGTTTTAATAAATATTTTCGACGAAAACAGTTACATCACTAGCATTTATGTGTGTGTATGTATGCAATGGTGACTTCGTTTCTACCAAAAGATGTTGCCCTTGCGCGGTGCAAATTGTGTTTGGATGTTACACTCGACCCTTTGAGAAGGCATGTTTTTCCCCTTCTTGTCCTTGTCCAGCTCACGCATTTCATCATATTGTCGTTTTAAGCAACCATCTCCCCTGACAAAGCTTCAAAGGGCAGAAAAGGTGGACTTTTTTGCCTTACAAGAGTGTGGCATTTTAAGAAATGAACAAAAAATTGTCTCACCCTTTGCCTCTAATTTAGATTCGAACACGAAAAGAGAAAGGGGCAATCAAAATGTGAAATTTTTTGGTAGAAACGAAATCACCATGAGTATTTATTTGCGTATAGACAAGCTCTGATTTAACTAATGTTTTTGCAAGCAAAATAATAAATATTTAAAAGTTTATCTTCATAAAAATCGATGTATTAACTGTTCTGTTGTGTGATTTACTACAAAAGTCTTTGTTTTGTCTTCTTTATTGCAATGGCTTTGTTGATTTCGTATGGCTTTGTTAATACAAATGTTTCTATTCGTACTGTTTGTGCATATGTATGTATACAGGCTATCTATATCGGTAGTATTTTTTTTAAATGCAGAGAGCAAAAAGGAACTATGATGCATGATGAATAGTGTGCAAGAATAAAGCTACATTGTTTTATACTATATTTTTTTATATCTTTTTTTTCTACAATTGTTTGTGAAAAGTTCAGTAATACATACTACATATTTATATACAGTGGCTGTAAGTTTGTTGTGCATTAAGTAGAGGAATAATATTTTTAATTCAATTGGGTGATTCACAAGCTATCATAACCTGCCATATTGTCATAGTGTCATACCATGACGCTATAATAAAAGCTCGTTTCGACGACTCCTTAGCGCAAGGTTGTATTTTGGTGCATACGAGATAAAAAGAGGACGAACGGAAGCCCGTGAATGCTTTTGGATTGACTGTCATTGACGATAATTTCATGGGATTGGGATAGAGTAACCCTTCTTTCAAAGTTTGTATACATTGAATTCATGTTCATCTAGCTCCAAATCGAGTGAAACTTTAAACTTTAGGCTTAAATTCAGTATTTGTAATATTATTGTCATCGTCGTCAAAGGAATTATGATTGTCTTCAAAGGTTTGGTGAGCTGAGTAGATAAATCAATGATAATAATATTTGCATGACTCTGTAACAGAAATGATACAAACATGAGCTTTGTTTTTATATTTAACGTTTTAAATTACTTTGTCGGATTAAAACTATACCACAAAAATTGTTTTAAAAAGTGTGCGACTTTTTTGTGTGTGTGTGTTTTTGTTTTGAAATGTATGTTTGCACTAGTTTTCACCAGTTGATCTACAATTGAACTTTAAAGTAATATGTACCTCAGGGGTCCTTATCACGAATTTAAGGAAAAAATCCTAAAGGGCTAACATTTTGAAATTTATCACTTTATGGCAATATGACTGTTATGACACTTCGTGAATTCCCTATACTATATCTACATTTGTATGTACCCGAGGGTGGTCCGAAATATGTAAATTCTGAATCTTAATGCTCTCACCTCCTAGGATTGTTCTATATCGAAAAAATATACCCCTGTTTTTTATTTTGAAATCAAAAAATATTTCGAGGTCGCTCAAAGTTTTCTATGTACTTTATATGGGGAAACAACAACTTCTCTCTTCAGGAGACTTCCAAAAGCAATCAATACCCAATTTTTTATTTAACCATTTTTTAATACCAAAGATTTTTTGATCTGCATTTTCTGGCATTTCTAGGGGTCTTGCCTGACCTATAAAATATAGTTACTATGAAACAATTGCTAAATAAATAATTGGGTATTATTATTGGGAGTCTTCTGAAGAGAAACAGAGTGTTCCGTTCGAAAAATATTCATTTTCAAGAATTCTATACATACATGAAAAATTTTGAGCGCTTTGAGCGACCTCCAAATATTTTTTGATTTCAAAATAAAAAACAGGGGTATATTTTTTCGGTATAGAACAATCCTAGCGGGTGAGA